CCATAGTAATCTTACCTTTAATTTTAATAAGAAGTCAATTCACTAGAATTTTTAAGCTAACTGTTCTGCTCAATGTACAATTTGACGTGTTACGCTCTCGTAAGACGGAGACAACACATAACGTCCTCTTAATACATATTAATACAATAGTCATTACAATAGGTATTATGATGGCAAAAGTATTTTTTACATGCGAAGATTTACAAAAACGAAACAACAAATAGTGAATATCATACCAGCCAATAATGACTGGAAATGTTTTTGCATTTTTGGAACTTAGGCGTAGGTACTCACCGTTCAGGTCTCCGATTCCGTCGCCATCGCTGTCTTTGAAGGATCTCACGTATATTTGATAGATGATTTCCGTTTGCCACCAGTCCAGTTCGGCCGCGTCGTTCAATCCCTCGTAAATAAACTCGGACGACACAAGACTGTTGGAGGCGAATAGCCACATGCACACCGCGATCGCTTTAAACATGTTGGCTGAGCGGTCGTGTTACGTGCCGAGTGTAGACAACACCCGTAATGTCGGACCCGCAGTCAATCGTGGCCTATTTATGCACTTTGATGTGATGTTACATTTTTATGGATTTATCTGCACGTCGTTTTCTGAGTGGCCTAGGCCCTATCTTTTAGCTAACCCACAATCAGAGCACTCGAGAGTTGCTCGCATTACGCAGTTTAATCCGTAAAACCGACGTATTAAAAAAGTAAACAAAATAACGATTTGATTTTTATAGTCTGGCTAGCAAAAAAATACCTAATGTCTGTATTAATATTATTATTATTATTGGCAATAATGGTTTACTGTTATACTTAGAAAAATGTTGAGGCACTAGCGACTGTTCTCTGAAGTTGTTCCTATGAATAGGAAAACACTTACCTATAATTGCAGTTATACCTAATATAATCTTTCACATATTTTCGTGTTACAAGTTTTTTTTATGTATAATATAGTTTAATTTAATATGCAGGTACCTGATGTCTTGCTTGCCTTAATATCATTAATGAAAATCGTTTATCTTATGTTATTTTTATATTGATACATTTTATAAAAACTTCACACAATATAGATTTCCAATAACTAATAATTAAGTTTTATGGTTGATAATAATATGTAGTTACCTACTATACAAATAAAGAGTTAAGTTATTCATTAAATAAAACGATACAACTGCAGTTATCTTTTACTTGTAAATTAGTTGTAATAAGAATGTGATTATTCTAGTAGGTAATAATATTAATACTAGTTATTGAACATAACATTAAATTCATCAAAATAGTTTTTTATACATAATTTAGTAATTATATAATTTCTTATATTACATTGATATTAGACGACTTATAAATTGCTCATTTAACGCCCCTTAATAAACGCATTGGATAATCACTAAACAATATAAATATAATTATGTGTTATCAGTTATATATAAAAATAATATTATTATAGTTACATTTAAAATCTATTCATAGTTAAAAAATAAATAGTAAATATTTAAACGAAAATCGAACTAATTGTATATTTTGCCATTTTGGTGTTTGTAGGAACATAAATAATTGTTTGAAGAATTATATTAAGTACACAAAAGATTAATTTTATAAATTTTAAATCTCCAATCTCATGTGGGAAAATTAAAAACATTTTGATTATTTCTAATAATTTGTAGGTATTATTATTTAATACACTGTCAATCAAATAATGTTTTATGACTATTTATGAGTGGTTAATAGGTTTAAAATGTCATATTACAATTTACAAATGAAATAACAAAAACTTTGTTTAATCGTTGATGGTATGCAATAAATTCTACTTATCTTTTTATTTTTTTAACAAAATACACTGGTGGACATTGAGGCGAGTGGAGCAAAATTAGTGTACACATCAAGGATCTGTATGATAGTATCATGTTCGTAACTTAATTCTATTTTATATTTAATGTTTTATTGATAAAAATAACGTCAAAATATTATGTTTCAAATAAGTGAATAGTTAGTAAACATGATACCTATTGATTAATTACTAATTTGACATTTGTTCACATCGGACACAAAATTGTTAGAGTGTTCAATATACTTGACATTTTTTACCTTTTTTTTATTATATTGTGTTTTTGTGTACAGTTATACAGATATACGCTTTTCTATAATTTTCACGAAAACAAAATTACTACCTACTTAATTCGTATGTTACGACATCCTTATCGACTACTGTCTTTAAAAGTAAATATTAAATGCATTATCAATAATATTATATCTATTAAACATTTTCAATGACGCAACCGTGCCCTAAAAAAAAAATGAAAATATAACTATTTAGATAACCGTATAATTTACAATGATGCCAATGATTTTATTATCTAGTAAAAGTAAGTAAAATTCTGTTTGAATTTTTAAATTAAATATATTATACAACTTTGAATTAGTTATGAAATAAAAAAATTGGATTAGAGCAAAATATTATCATATATAATATTTAACTGAATAATAGATCTATATAAAAGTTATTATTTTTTACTTAATATTACATCATAATTAAATACAAGTTTATAAACATTTAGTTTCGTTAATAAATAAGGATGTTGTATTAATTATTAATATATTTTAATTTAATAAATTTATTTAAATTTATTATTATTAGGTACATTGTAACACAAGTTGATTAACTTGTGTTACAATGTACCTAATAATTTTAAAACAAACATTTAAAACTTTCTGAAGCAAACAGCGTAAACAGATTCCATTAAGGTAGTTCTTATTATTTTATTCTCAATATTAATCGAAAACATTTAGTATTCATTATTTACAGGGTAGGTAGGTATAGATAATTGGTATTGCTGTTAATTAATTATCATTAAAAAAAAAAAAGAACAATATAATTTTCAATATACGTGCGTACTGCACAGACTTCATTCCCAGATTATGCAATGAGAAAAATAGGGTCCCCCGGCCCTTACTTAAAAAAAAAATCACTAAACATAATAACTTGCATCATCTAGGATAGGATACTCAACCGTAATTTGATTGAATTTAAAAGATAGAATAGGTACCTATATAGTTTATTCATAAAAATTATTTTGAGCCTTTAGACATTTTCTTTTACGACAGGTAGGAGTGTAGGACACAGTCTACAATCTAAGTAGTTGATTGTATACTTTTTACCATCTTTGCTTCCCCCAGAATCTCGAATCTCGCATAGCTTAGTTTTATAGTAGAATACATTATGGTCTTTGATTACGAACCATTAAGACAGTAATAATGTAGTAATGTACTTGTCAACCATTAGTTAACATTTGTTTTCATCTAAATGTATTTTTTTTTCAAACAAAATTACAAAAAACTATACCTTTTAAAAATTAAGCCAACTTTCAAAAAAAAAAAAAGAGAAAATGATCACTATAATTCAAAATAATTTTATTGATTGACTTTGTGACATACATCATGCGTATATAATAATATCAAGGTCAATTGTAGTGTCATTTGCATGTAATTAAAAATTAACGTTATCAGGTGTTTTTGTACAGTTAAAAAATACATATCTATAATATATTTGTGTTGAACTCGAACTGGAGTATAGAAAAATTTAAGTTAGTAAGAGATTGTAATTTTATGAATGAACATATTAAAATTATCAGCTTATAAATTATTATGTGATATTATATGAATAATGAACGTGTATGTATCGTTTTATAATGCACCTATTTATACATACTGACGACTGATTTGTTCAAGTTAATTTATGAAATAACTAATAAGAAAGTAATGAGGCACTTGGGGACTGCCGCGGTAAAGCAATTGCATAGCAATTTCGCATCTATTATGTAATTATTACTAATTATTTTTGTATGATATTGATTCAAGTTACACATTTTGAGAGCGGCGACCAAAAAGGAAATTAGTTTTTTCTGTTAATAATGGTAGATAAGCACCTTACATCATATATCATAGGTACATTTAGATATTCTGCCACGTTTCGAATACACAGTGTATGGCCCTGGCCTTGCCTGCGACCTGCAAATATACCCACTAATAGCCGACGATCGCAGATAATAATTTTTCTCACTGTTTTTGTTACGAAACCTTTTTTTTTCAGTCACCACGCTAGGCCCGCGATAAAAGCTATGGAATAGCTTAAAAATCGAATCAATATTTTTTGATATTACTTTAATAATTGTATAGTAGAATGAAGTGATATTTATGAAAAAAAGTATTTCTTCGTACATATCATACCTCTATCTTCCTCGTATGGGATATTTAATATTTAATAATATTTAAGGTTATAAAATTAAGAACGCTGAGTAGCCGCATAACTGTCTTTTTGTTTTTTTTTTCACACAAGTAAACTGTTTACCATAACATGTTTACTAAATGGCGTATTGTTTTGAAATTAATATTATTCTATCCTTAATATTCTTATCTATAATGAGTGACTTTTAACTTCATCGAACTTAATTGTATTCTGAATAATAAATAATAGTTAATACCTCAAGTTAAAATGTTGGTAATATTTTTTAAAGATATTGATACCTCCTATCATCTAATATTCAAATGCACTCTATTTCTTCTAGTGATCAAAATAAATTATATATTTTATTCAATCATAGAAATAATACACGTATATTTGCCTATAACGGCTATAACTATTGCATCGAACTTGCCTATAATATGTTGGGACTTGTACCCAAATCAACCACAATCCGTAAGACCCATAAAAACCCTAAAAAAATCAAACACCTGCAAAATGTTTTATTTTAAAAACTTCACGTATCTGGTTATTAATATTTCGAAGACAGTTAGTTTGATTGCCTAATAGTTAAATAATTATCATCAATGATCAGGGACCGATGGATCAGCATACTACTACAAACATACTGCGTGGGCGCAATTCGGCCGTCGTTGATAATAATATATGTTATTAAGTTTTTCAAAAAAAAAACCATTTTAATGTACAGATGAGCTTTGTATATTATAGCCTAAAGGTACACAAAAACAACAAGAACAAATAAATTATACATTTTAATTTATTTTTACAAATTATTATAATATTACGAGAAATAACCTAAATGCGCAGCTGTAGATAATTGATCATGAGACATTGATAGTTAACACCAATAAACATAGTATAAAGTGTTTGCAAAAATCTTAAACGCTTTTGAATTTTTGTTGTTCAGCAATAAATTAATTTTGAAGAAAACCACTATTGTTGTTGTACGTGTGGCATTAAATTAATTGAACATGTATACATAATATTATAGAGTATGGAAAAAAAACTATGCGTCAAGTTTCTAAAACCTGTTATATTTTAATTTGTACTTGTAATATTGTATATTCTTTCTTCAATATTTTAATGAGTCATTTTTAATTGTCTGCATTCGGTTTTGCTGTTGAGAGAACAAGAGATGCTTTTGGTCTCAACTGTAAGGAAGTCGATAGTACTATATTACTAAAAAGTAAAAACAAATTAAAAATTATAACAATATTCGTGTACAAAACGGGACTGTTAGCAGAAAATGATCATATTAAAATCATTTATACTTACCCAGTAACATAACCTGAGTTTATACTTGAAACTTTGACCTTCAATATAGTTGGTAATGTTGGTCTAGCTGCTTTTATATTAATTGTTTCCAGTTCACTACCGAAATTAATGACGACGAAGAATGTTGGATGATCATAAAAACTCCTAAAACGAACAAATCACCAGCATGTAACTTATACAGTACATAATATACGAATAATATACATCATATATACAGCATATAAAATATAATTTATCAACCTCCCATTAATGATGTATTGTATTTTTTTTTTCAGAAATTATCATTTTTATGTTCACTAATTCAATGGATTGTTTTATAATACTTAAATGTTATTTTTGTGTTGACGATTTATTATTGTAATCACTAATCGGTTATCTTTTAGGTAGGTACTTAAACTGACATGACATTATATTATATTAGTCGCATAGTTGTAACACTCGTAACGGTGCATGTATAACACCCTAAGATAAAGTTACGTTCATTGATGGCTTTAAATTATCATCTACAAAAATAATGTTTCCTACTCTGAAAATTGAACTAAAATATTTCAAATTTGAAGAGTCCAGAGTTCTTCAAACATCGTCACAAACCATTATAGTGACGCTATTTTGTATAACACGAGTATTATTAAGTAACAAAAAAAAAAAATTGAATATATATCTTCGTAAAATATAGTTATGAAACTGTAATAATATAATATTAATTCAAGCAAAATTGAACGCAAACATGTATTTATGACAGTTTGCCTATTCAATTGTTGCGCACGATTCAAAAAGTTTAATGTTTTGACGATTGCCAAAAAATGTACAAATACCTACTACAGACGGATAGGTATGGTTGACAAACCTATCGGAAAAGAAAAATTGTAAAGTGAAGTAATGTAGTGCAATCACTAATTGCTTACTAGAAAAAAAACTATCTCGAATGACTGGAACAAATGCAGACGTCTTATATTCTTATCAAAACACTGAATTCACTAAGGCGGTTTTATGAGCGATAAAACATAATAGTTAACACAAGTGTAACAATAAAACGTTCTTCAGATTATTAATTTATGCAAGCTAACCTAGTGGTTCTGTTAATCCGCTCGATTAAGTATACTTATGACATTATATTACACAGCTTTATGACGTAATAGAAAATTAAAACAAGTTGATCATCAGTTAATTATCGTCGCGTCTGCATATTTCTTTGGTCTTAATCGAATCGCGGGTAAGCCCGGATTAAGGGATGGCGGGAGGGGGGGGGGCACTGGCCCGGGCCCATAACGAAAATCAAACAAAGGGCCCAGATGGTGCTCGTTCCCTATGATAGTAATATATGGTCGTATATGGATACATTATTATTATTATTATTATTATTATTATTTGGCGGAATTTCCGTGGACTTGAGCCGCCCACGTATATCCGTCTGACTTACCTCGAAAAACCGTACACCCATTTGGACAGTACGTATACGTGCAAGTCTCCTTTGATGATTGTCGGGTTCTGTCTCAAGCGCGACAACTGTCTGTACGTCTTGAGGTGGCTCTTAAACTTGGACAACTTGACCAGGTTGTCTTGCCAATAGTTCGGGTTGATAGGGAGCCACGTTCCGTTCGTTCCGTTGGTGAAACCTGCGACGGAAACGTTCTATTATCGCCGCTACTACTTTTATCGTAGGCCGACGAGATAATATTATAACCGTTGTCGGATCGGCGAAAACGGAGAAAAAGGGCGTGTGCAAATAATAATAACATCATACCGGCGTTTACAGAGTCGTCCCAGGGAAACGGACTTCTGGCGGGATCTCGACTGAACTTCGTGTACCGCAACACGCCGACGTTACGTCCGGCCGGATCCAACGTCTGGTTCCATCGGACGTACGTGTCTTGCACACCCAACTCGTCGGCGTAGTACGTGATCGGGGTTCCCGGCATCAGGAGTTGCAACATGTGTAGGCCGTCAACCAATAGCGGGTTGGTCCTAGTCGCTAATCGCGAGTTGTCATGATTGCCGAGCTAAACCACCCAAACGAACAAAACACAGTTTTCATATACACGAATATTTTTTTTTCACATATGAATATATTTTTAAATGTACGCACGTCGCGACATTATTATAATACAGAGTGATTATGTGGCTACGAAAGTTTCCTTATTGAATATTAGACGTGTTTTTGAAACGATTTTTTTTACATCATTCGAAGTTGCTACCCGGATACATCACAACATTTTAAAAATAAATTCGTATTTTTTACCGTTTTGTAATACGTATTTTTTTTTAAACTACAGTGCGTACTTTGATTTCATATTTCAAAACAGTTTTTGATAAGCAATAACTAATAAATGTTGCCCAACTAAAGTTTAGACGAACTAATAGCTCCAAAATGTTCTTGGGCATACAAATTTACCGGACACTTACCACCCAGTTGGGCCACATGTTTTCAGGCATGTTCAGCATCCAGGACTTAATCGTGTTGTCGACATCGTAGGCGTCGGATTGCTGATCGAACTTATTGATGAGCAAAAAGTTGAACGGAAAATGAGCTCCTGGAGACGTTGCGTTACCGTAGTACCTCATGGTGTTGTTCAATGGCGAGTAACATTCCACCATAAAGAAGCTGTCGCAAACGAGTTCATATTGATATTATATAATGACGGTTATCATCAGCCCGAATAATAATATTATAATACGACGAGAATCGGTAGATATTCTACACGTCTGACGGTTTTATTATTGTTCGAAACGTTAGAGAGAGTTTTACTTTTTTTGTCTTACTTGGTCAACTTCTCGGTAGTCGAATAATCGTCTAGCACCTGTCTCCAAACGCGCACCATTTCGTAAGTTTCCGGTTGATCCAGTGTGTTGTTGTGCACCAACGCGTCGTAATCAGTGTCTAAAATGCCGACTTTGTAAGATTTCCCTTCGTCCTGTAAATCTTCCCTTTCGTATAGATAGTTGACGGCGTCGAATCTGAACCCATCTACACCGCGTCCCAGCCAAAAGAGTATGATGTTCTAAAGAATAGTGTTCACATATTATCGCAATTGCAATTGTTCTATATACATTATACATCTATTGTTATAATTGTTTTACTCCAATGGGGTACAGCGCGTATCATGCATAATGACAATAATATTATGTTTAATCAATGCTACCATCACACTACGGAATAACGTGTTCCAGTGCCGTATTTCCCAGTAAACACTTTAAGCTAGTGCTTAGGGCGGCAAATAATTTTTAACATTACATTTTTACAATATGTAACTATATAGAACTAATTATAAAATATTTTTAGACCGACGGGATTGTGGTAATATTTATATTTTATGTTTTCCAATTTCATAATCGTACAGATGTATGTTTTTAGTTTTCATCATTAAAATTTTAAGTCATAAAGGAAAAACTATAATTGTATGTTTTAATAACATTTTTTAGACTAGAAAAATATTTATATTAAAAGGCGGCAAATTATTTAGTGCTTAAAGCGGCACAACGGTTAAATCCGGCACTGATGTGTTCAACATCAAAATATTATAGTACTTTTCGAGTTGAGAATAAGTATACGAGAATAAATACCTTGATTTCTTCCACGACCATTGGACATCTATAGTTCAAGTCTGGCTGTTTTACTTGAAAAGCGTGGAAATAGTATTGTTGACGTTCTTCGTTCCACTCCCAAGCAGACCCAGTATTGAAAACGCCCAACTGCAAAAGTCACAAAAGAGCAATAAGTGCAATGCGATTGAAGGCTATATAAAAAATACCAATCATGTGGTTGATAGTAAGTCAATATCACACGATATAACAGAAAGACCTATCAAATGAAATAGCTCAATTAATATTTCACCATTTTTTTTTTTTAAATTCAATTCACAGGCGCTCGAGCTACAAGTCTAATAGGTGTGACTTTTTTTTATTCAGTACCGCAACATTCAAAATTCAAAATAGCCTGTTTATAAAACTAATTTTTAGACACATGTTGACGGTAAAAACGTTGATTAAAGTCAGGTCATTTTTATTTTACATTTTTTTAAAATACCTATATAATTTTGGATTAAATTAATTTGAAACATGTAATAACTTCAAAATATTGTTTTTGGGCATCACCTGGAATAGGCATATTTTTCAAATATAATTTACCATCCGTATAATTTCCTTAATTTTGTCATACGTTTAACTTTATTTATAGAGTATTTTATTTTTTTCCGACAGGTTTTTCTGTTAAGCACATTACACTATAATTACTGTCAAATAGATTTTTATTATTTACCCAGTTATTCGGAGGTGTCCTGTTTCCATTTTCATCGATAATTGGGTCTTTCCACACGTAGTAATTTGTGTAAGGTTCAATTCGCTTTACAGATTTGATGAACCACGAATGTTCGTCACTCGTGTGATTTGGCACAAAGTCCAATATTACTTTAATACCTTTTAATCAATTAAGTTAATATTGCGTCTTGTACAAACATCAACCGAAAACATCAATCATAAATAACGTAGGTACCTCTTTGGTGGAATGCATCCCTCATCCGGTCAAAGTCAGCCATGGTACCGTATACTGGGTAGACCCGCTTAAAGTTTGATACGTCGTACCCAAAATCATCTTGTGGAGATTCGAATATTGGAGATAGCCAAACCGCTCCAACATTTATACTCTTAAAATAATCAACTTTCTCCGTAATACCTATAAAAAATATATTAGTAAACAAGCAAATCTTAAATAAAAAAAATATTCTGCGTTATAACATTTTGGTTGTACCATAAAATACAGTAAAAATCGTACTATTTGATATTTTGTCCGTTAATTAATAGTTATAATATCACCGAAGTGCTTGACGAGCAGTCATATTTGATTAAAATGAAACGAAAAGTGTTATTTATGATTGTATTAATAGGTATGAGTAATCATACTTTTCAAAATAAATTGGTTTTTAATACATTTTTTTTTAATCAAAAAAAAAAATGATTTGAAATTTTAAAATAATATGTACTTTTGAATAGTTTACTAAATTGGGTAATATTATTTTGTTAGTAATGAATAAGGACTAAATTGTTGTTTTTGAAAAATTGATAAATTCAGTAAAACAATTAAATAAGTAGACTTATTCTAATATTAAAGTATAACTAATACTTATTCACATCGCACGAAAAATTGTAAACAAATATTCGCCTCTGGTGTTTAGTTTTTATCTACCCAAATATTCCTATTTACCACAAACACTTGAAGTTTTAAATATTCAGATTTTTTTCATTCCAATTATCGTGATTATAAGAGTTCCGGAATTTCTGCATTCTTCAAATTAATTTTTAATGTTCATGTAAAGATCGTGAAAACCTTAGTTTTAATAATACCACTGAACCTTTACACACAAATTAAAGTGGAAAATATAGAAAATAGAAATTATTACATTTTTACGGAATTAGAAGATACTGTTTTTATATTATTATTATTATTTTTTTAAATATTCGAAAACCCACGTATGTATATTATAATCAAGAACATCAATCAATTACGAAATAATACACCGTACGTACCATTGAAATCTCCGATTCCATCGCCGTTGCTGTCTTTAAAAGAACGAACGTAAATCTGATAGATGATATCCGATTGCCACCAATCTGGTTGGAACTTGTCGTCAAACCCTTTGAATATGTACTCTGCGGACACAAATGTATGGGCCACCAACAGCGAAACAAAGGTAATTATTCTTAACATTTTGACGTTAAGACTAATTACAAACGGTAACGGTGTGACGACGCGGGCGGACAGCCACCAATGTAATAGCTAATCCAAATAGGAGTTGTGTTCACTTATATATATATGTTTTAAGCTTATAATTATTTTAATAGATGATTTATGCCTGTTATAATATCGGAACCATATTAATCTTTATTGGGCTAAATAACATAATATTATATTATACTAGCTAGATACCATTTCATTATATAACCCTGTTTTATGGCAGGTATATAACGTTGTATTACCGAATGTCAATATTATCTTAGCTTAACTTATTATTGTTGTATTATAAAAGTACAATAATTATTAGGTGGTCCTTGACATACAATGTGTGCTAACTGGTTCAGCACTATCTGAATTTAACAGGTATTCAATAGTTTTTTTCGGCAAATTACAAAACTTTAAAAAAATACAAGCTAATATAATATTTATAATATTTAAAGCATTGCCGAATTTCAAATGGCGAATAGTCAAGAATTTTGAATAAATAAATACAATTCAATTTTTACAGCTTTTAGGATACTATACAAAATACATATAATAGTTGTGTAATATTATGTTTTTAATAATAAATAATAATATAATGTTAGTCTATAATCTGTGTACAGAAAGTACCTATCGCTCAAATGATTTTATTATAGTGGGTGGGTCGTGTGGCTCATTCTTTAGCATACACTATTTTATCACTAAAAATACTATTTATTGTTACCGTTTTATGCCTATGTACAAGTTATTATAAATATTGAAAGTAGACCATGGGGTCTATCCTCCTCATCGCTCTCACTGTTTGAATGCCACGGATGCTTGTATATAACACCAAATATATTTTTCATAAATTAGCAATACTCTCGAATATCCATGTTCTTATCATCGAGTTTCAGTTTAAATTAATCAAGGATGCCATCTTCAACATTTTATCTTATACATTCTTGTTTCTAAAATTTTGCTCATACAATATTCAATAATTACGAAATAGTTATAGTGTTGATACTTTTACTTTATTTTGTAATACCTATGTTTGAGATGGTTAAACTTTGTTAAGTAGTTTAATGATCATAAATAATAATAAGCAATTTGACGGTAAAATAACTGTCTATGATTTTAGAATTTCTCATTATCAAAATGTCTAAATGAATATAGACATTACGGTTTACGAATGATCATCATTTTTGCAGGTCATAACTTAATATAACTGCAGTTCAATTATAAATAGGTAGTCAGGGCCGAATTTAACGGAGGGTCATAAGAGAAAATGCTCATGGCTTTGAATTTTTGGGGGATGCACAAAATTACCTTGGGTTTTTTACTAATAGACATCAACAAATACTATTCGATTTCAACGTAATAATAGAAAGAAAACAATATTTTTCATTTATTTGTAAACAATCGATGTGAAATGTTGTGTTTTAGTGTGAACACAATTTGAGAGGATAAGGAAGAAAAATGTATTAAATCTCACAATATTTTTAGACCTGCAGGCCATCAAAATTCTAAACCCGGCCATGCAGGTACCGTTAAGGTATAGGTTAGTCACGTGTTTAAACACATAAACATTCATTAAAAAGTTATAAGGTACAAATTTATTGTGTCAAAAAAAAAAATATATATGTCTTGAAGTCAACCAGTTTACAATGTAATTACGAAACTATAAAATACTTGCCGAAAAATAATTTAAACGAAAGAATGAGATAAATATTGTTCTTTCAAGTATTAACTCTACACATAGTACCTATAATACACTCATAAGTCATAATATTCCTAAATAATAGTGTATAACGTGTAATCCAGCTAATCGGCCTCAATGACGTTTGCGATAATAGGTACGTGTGTGGGTATAATAACGTACTTGATAACTAATAATACATACATATTATTAGGTATATTTCACTTTTAAATGTAAGATAAATATTTACTCATTAACAATTCACCGGTAATATGCGTAAATAAAAAATTGCCAACCATTATAGTCATTATTTTTTTTTTTTTTTATGTATGTACGAGTTTACATATTATTATTATTATTTTTTATTCGTTTTGCCTTTGAACTAGCGTTCCCGTTGCACCCAGTGTGGTCTCCGTTCACAAAACAAACCTCCCATCGAGTATCCCAGTGGGTCTAACTGACTTTTTGTCGGATAAACAAAAAAAAAAAAAAAACAACAAAAAGAGAAATCATTTCCATTCACAAGTGAATAGACCCGATTTTCCGTCAATTATTGTTATTCATATTATGTGTATATAATATACCTACATGGATATATACAATATATTGTCCAATCGTCATCGTTACGATTAGAGGTAGGCATATACAAGGCACGTCATGTACTATGCAGGACCACCGACCGTTAGCCGCAATTTTTTTCCTTTTTTTCGCTCCTCGTTCACATCCGGACCTTTTAGCGTGCACGCGCTATAACAATAATATGCGAACGCACTATAATTACGATCACTCGGCTACTACGCGTATATATGTTATTAAAATATTATACACTCATATTATATATTGTCATCGACCGTCGTCGTATCGTATTATGACATAAAGTGCGAGTGATAGTGTAGGCGTATCGTGCGGTCGTGTCCAATGAATTATTAACCTGCACAATATAATGGTGCAGGTGCTCGTATAATGTGCATATATTATTTTGCTGTGGCGGATTTAGAACCGGCAGACAAAATACGGTCGGCAGAATTGAGTGTGAAAACGATACGACGAAGCAAGTTACAGTTATAGTAACGCTGTGATCGATGTGCAATGTTTTCGGCAAAAATTTCAATCGACTTACCGCGTAGTTCCAATAGTAAAATAAATTACTTATTATAGCAATATAAAAAAATATACATAATGAAATAGGTACGCCAAGTATTATAGTGGGCTGTCAGACAGTCTTCGATCAGAGTTTGTCGTTGGATTCAAATTTCTCACGCACATAAATTACAGAGACTTCTTCGATGACGAGGTGCACTCATCGCCTACTGCATAGCAGAACGGTGTTTTCAGCTCGCGGCAAGGCGAGTTATTCGGGACCTTTCGTTGCGATTATCGTTTGCCTGCAAGATAAATATCGTACCTATTCGTGTGTTATTTACCGCGATTATTAGAACGATTGTCCGATGTGAATTTATGTACTTGAATATATACATAGTATGCATATATGTCAAGGCTGCTTATGAAAACCGTTTCACTAAAAATAAATAATGACATCCTCGGAAAAATGCGTCTAGGACTAAGGAGCCACGACGAGTTATCCTAGGGGGGTGGCAATCGTGTAAATCTTTCTCTGGTATCGATATCCACTCGAAACCGCGCGTGCATGTCGGCGGAGATGATATTATGCTCAATTCAATACACTATCGACCATCACAATAGTTATATCATTACACGTGGATAATAAAATATGTACCCAACCGCACTACGGAGCGGAGAACACCCCTCGCAACGACCGTGCAGATATGGATCTATCGTCGATATGATGTTTATAATAATTACCGGTAATTGTTCTCGACGTCTATATAGACAGCCACAATACTGCTACTATTACTATTACTACCGATAATAATAATAATAATAATAATAATAATATAAGTGTACCCATGAAGCACACACGACGATAATAATATTATATCATAGCATATGTACGCAGGTTAGTCCGCGGGTTATCGGACGAATACGGAAAGGAGAAAAACAGTATTCGGAAACTCGTCTCGGGGGGGGGGGGGGGGGGGGAGAATTTGAGTATTGTAATAACACGTCGGTAGGTCTCGATTTCAATGGACCGCTAATGAAACGGACTGCAGCGACTGTCGCGGTGCACGCGCGAGGGATGACGAGCCCTCCATATACGCAATCTATTAAGTATACACCGATAATACGTGTAACCGAATTGCGAGCGTGTGAGAGTGCACGTTTCTACCTATATGCGTGTACACAACATATAACACACGTATCGGACGTGTTCATTTAATTACCCGTGGCGTGTACGTCATCGAACGTTATTGCATACGGAATATCATATATACTGTATAGATATAGTCTGTGTCGCCCTTCAGCGCGGCACTTGTACGTACGTCTATGTCGCGTACGGTCTGTACTGCACACATATAGGTACTTATGCGCAGGACGAATATTATATACGAAGTGAAAACGCCCAACACTTTCGGTGGTCACGAAACCGCATTACCGCTAACCACTTATTATTGCTGCGACCGACAAACCAACGACTTAACCCAATAACGCGTCCAATACCATTATTTCCGGTACATATAGCACATATATATATATGACCTGTAATTGCGTTATACCGTGCCGAGCGCTGCACATAGTGCAAGCTATACGGTCAGACTTTCGGAATGTAATCTTACACGTGTGTATATATATATATATATATATATATATATGTGTATGTATTACATATGTATATATATATATATATATATATATATGTGTATGTATTACATATTGTGCACGAGTATATAACTGCAATAAAATAATTATCGTTTTACACTACAATCCCGCCTGCTGTATATATATATATATATATATATATAGTGTTATATGGACACTCGTCGCCTCCTATCGGCGCACTATACAATAATATGTAATAAGTTTATAACACGGAAATATACTATATAGATGCTCGACGAGAATTCGGAATAATTACTTTACTCCGACGGAGCCGGTGTTCGCTCGTTAAGATTCGCGTAAATTCCAATAAGACTCGGCTGCAGCGCGATACGTTGCCATTAATACCGTGTCATTATTGTGTGGCGTCTAGAACCGTACGAGTCGTATATTATACTTAGTTTTGAGTGGTCTTATATACGGCCAAATGCGTGTTTGGATCGATAGAATACGTCTTGTAACGGTTGATGATTTTTTCGCGAAATTAACATTTGTCGATTCAAAGTCGATATATAGGTTAGAAAATTTGTATTTTTTTCTAGAAAACATTTATGCGAAATTCGTCAAACGATATTATTATAAGTACTTTGATCCAATTCGAGCGCAGCTGATTTCCACTCGTCTGTCCCAGCTGATAACATACGATAAAATATGAACACATAACACGTCATTTAATACC